AATTGTGTGTGTGTGTGTGTGTGTGTGTGTGTGTGTGTGTGTGTGTGTGTGTGTGTGTGTGTGTGTGTAGGTGACAGGTTTCGGTCAGTGATTGATGACGCCTGGTGGTTTGGGACCATTGAGAGCCAGGAGCCCTTCCAGCCTCAGTACCCTGACAGCCTGTTTCAGTGCTACAATGTCTGGTATGAGCACAGCTTTCACATGATACATCCATTGTATTTGCTTTAGTAATGTGATCCAATGCATCAAAGCAAGAGTTCCTAAGTTACTAAGTAAGAGAAAAGAATAATGCAGAAATATGGACATTTTTTTCAAAATATAAAGCAGAAAACGACACCGTACAGTTCAAGTTTACTCGACAAGCGCTCACAGACTACAGAACAAGTGTGGATGGGAAATTGTAATCTCTTCGTGGAGAACTCCTTTTGAGAAATTTTGAGAGGATTACTTTGAAAATCACTAAAGTTGGGTACTTTGAATCTGGACCCAGTGTGTCTCCTGTACATTTGGTCTCTTGGCCTTTGAGTGAATCCTGGAATTGAACGAGTTCATAGATCTGAATTCCCACAGCGACAGTATAAGAAATGTAAAACTTTTAAAACGGTTTGCACGGAGCAGGAATTTGTCTACTAATAGCTCCATGTGATGACGCCACTGACACCTCCTCTCACAACACTCATTAACTACACAAACACCTCGTGGCTCGAATCATTCAGGGAAACTTGATGAAACGATCGTGGATGACAGTTTGAATTTGACATTTAAAATGCCGGCTAGCGCTGCCCTTTGTTTCGTATCACTCGGCTTTCATTGTCGGTGACATTCCAATTCGAAACATTAATAAGCATATTGTCTGTTTGAGTTACTTCTTCTTGTCAACACTGAGTGCTTACTGTTATTTAAAAGACCTTGTTAGAGAGTGACATCCACTCTAGGCCGTACGCCACCTGAGCAAACCGCAAACAGCAAAACAAGAAATCACAAAGACTACAATGTGATGCTGTTGAATATTCATATCAACACTGTTTCCCTTCCAGCTGGGACAATGGAGACACGGAAAAGATGAGTCCTTGGGACATGGAGCCTATCCCTGATGATGGTAGGTCTCTCTCTCTCTCAATACACCCACACTACAGTACACACCCATTTAAACAGATTCAAATGTAATTGTTCAACATTTTACATTTCTGATGTATTTTTCGGTCGCCTTTCTCTCCGGGCGCAGCCACCTTCCCTGACGAGTTGGGCACGAGCGTCCCGCTGGTAGAAGAGGAGCAGAAGGAGCTGCTGTACGTCCCGCTGGACGGGGAATGGGGCTGCCGCACACGCGCAGAGGAGTGCGAGCGCATCATCAAAGCCATCGACCAGCTGTGCACGCTCGGTACGACGTCATCGCCAAACAGCCCCCTTATGTCATGGATTTAGGGATTGGGAAGTGAAGCCACGAGGAGACATTTCTCGTAAATGCGTGACTCCACAATACCCGAGTCACCGCTCTGAGCTCATCGGCGTGAGCCCAGCAGAGCAACGGCTCTCGCGTTGTAACACGTCAGCCAATTATTGAGGCTGCTTGCTTGAATTCCTGTTAAATGATGTCATATTCGGGAACAGGCTTTTTGTATTACTGCAATCCTCCCAGTGGAAGAAAGCTGGCGTGAGGGCTCCCTCTAGTGACGGTCTGGGGACCAACAGCCAGCAATCGAATCCTTCTAGATGTCCTACGCTCTATTTATATAAACCCTTTTAGGTCCATTTAAATTAAGTGATAATATTTAGAACACGTTGGAAAATCTTAGCAAAAGGGGACGAAGGTGTGATGTAAGCATTGCTGTTGCCTGACATATGCAGGTTATTATATGGTACAAATAGACAAGATATCCACGTTAAGTGTGTTACGAAATGCTGGCCTGCTCCGGTAAATAATCCTCTCTTCTTCACCCGTCTTCCATCCACCGACCCAACCTGCCTCCCTCAGATGTGGCAGCGCCGTTTGCCTTTCCAGTGGACCTCCAAGCCTACCCCACATACTGCACGGTGGTGGCCTACGTCACTGACCTCAGCACCATACGCGAAAGGCTGGTGAACCGTTGCTACAGGTACCTCACAGCAGCTTGTGTTTGAGTAAAAGGAGATACAGAGTCTACGTGTGTGTGTGTGTGTGTGTGTGTGTGTGCATGTGTGTGTGTGTGTGTATCGTGACTAGAATTGAATACACACTCGACACATCTGTCTTTGTTTCCAGGCGACTGTCCTCTCTGATGTGGGAGGTTCGTTACATCGAACACAACGCCCAAGCGTTCAATGAGCCCGGAGCGTTCATCGTCACAACTGCCAAGTTTGTCTCCGACCTCATGCTGCAGTTCATAAAGTGAGTACTACAGCCTGTGTGTTCTTGTGTAGGGACAATGTAGAGCATATTAACAAAATGTTAATTAACCAGTTTTTCTTTGAGTACTACATAAAAACAAAAGTTATCAAGAACTTCTCATTACAAATCTAAATGAATTCCCACGTTAAACATTTGCACCATCTAACATTGAGTCATTTCTGCTCTCTCCTTCTCCTTCTTGTCCAGGGACCAGAATATGACCACCCTCATGCCCCTCTATAAATCTATGAAGAAGGCTACCTTCTCTGACTCTGAAGACGAGGTGTGTTTGCATATTTACCCGCCTACACTGCAGTTTGTGCTTAACATGTTGCTTTTTTACTCCACTAATTATCGGCTGATATTCATTACATGATTTCTCACCAAAGCCAAAATATTGTAATCAAATTATTATAAAAGAAGCGTTCCATTTAATGTGGCTTTATTGACACGAAGGTTTCAGAAAACCTCACCGAATGAAGAAAATATTAACATTCACCGACGAATTATGAACAGAAACATTGTCATACTCATGAATACGTACAATATAGACAAATCATTTCCTGCTCTGTTATTACTTGTGTAACTGTGTGAGACAGTTCTACGTGTGTAGCTTAGTCAAATGTATATTGCATTGCAATCCGTTCTTGTTTGCTCATCCGTGGGCGCGTTCTCGCTGTCATATGAAAGGAGAGAGAGGACAGCGGCTCCAGTTCTCGTTCAATCTCCCTGAAACACCGGTTGATCTCGGCTCAACGGGTGGAGGTCTGTGAGCGTAGTGGAGTATGTGTCGGTGTCTCCGGGGGCAGCCGGCCTTACCTTTGTTACGCCACAAGCCTGTCGCTTGCGGATGGTGAGCAAGAGTCGACGTTGGAGTCGAGTTTAACAGCAGTTCACGCTCATTGTCATCATTCGCCTTGAGATTCATTAACACATTGATTGTTTTTGAGGCCGTTGCAGGCCGGATAGAGATGGGTCATGTATGTTGTCCATGTGTGCTATAATACAAGCGCTTGGTAGAGTACAATATACATTCCCTTTGTTTAATTACCCTTTTCCTATCTATTTAGGATGATGAGGAGGAGGATGAAGATACTAATACTCCTGGAACATCCACGCGAAACCATAAGGTAACACTATCTGACAGCATCCGCGTGTTCACGTACATCCTTAACACATCAGATAAAACAAACCGTACTAATTTTAGCGTGAGACATTGCTCCACAGGCTGTTTTGCAATGCCCAGTGCAGTTATTTTCAATTTACTCATTGTTTTTTGCGCAGGGTCGACGACCCACGCAGCGGCAGCTGCGGACCCGGCCCCCGTCGTATGACCCCCATGCCTGGCGCGGTCGCTGTAAGGAGCTGCTGGATCTCACCTTTCAGTGTGAAGACTCGGAGCCCTTCAGAGAACCCGTGGACCTACAGGAATACCCGGTAGGTGTGCGACATCCGTATGTGCTACCCTCATTTCTGTGTTCTGTACTGTGTGCGCACGTGAGCTCCACCATAACAAACTGAAGTCATGAGTCTGATGTTTGAATTTGAATTTCCATTGGTCTCAGATTTATTTGGCCCTTGAATCTTGCTATACAGTCACAAGTGGCTACAAGTCAACTACACAAGGAGTGGAAGCGAAAGAGCTTGTTTGGTCTGAAGAACAGGCCTCTCCATTCAGCATGAAGGAGGAACAACGTGAACAGACCCAAGGTTTCAGTGGGATTTGACTTCTCTTGCTAACAGAGGAAGGGTGGAATTCTTTTGCATCAGTTGTTTTTTCCCAGCCCACTCAAAGTGAAAGCCCAAATCCCCCAGAGCTCTTATTCCGCCCCCCTCTCTTCTTACTCTATATCTTCCTCTCCTCATGTCTGTTCTCATCTTTTGAAACCTGTAATTGAAATATCCCATCTTCCCTCTGCCTCTCTCAGGACTACCTGCAAATAGTTGACTCACCGATGGACTTCAGCACCGTTCTCAAGACACTCAAAGAAGGAAAGTACCAATCTCCCATTGAGCTCTGCAAAGATGTCCGGCTCATTTTCAGCAACTCCAAAGCTTACACGCCCAGTAAGAAGTCTCGGGTGAGACACACACACACACACACACACACACACACAGTCTGTGAAACCAGGGTGCATTAAGTTCAATATACATTGTGGTCCTCTCATGTTTCCATGCTTAGATGAGGACATGAAATTCAATTCTCAGATCGGTTTGTGCCCTTTGTCCATTTTTGTCTTAGTTGAATCAGTGCATCCTTTGTTGTTTGTCTCCAGATCTACAGTATGAGTCTGAGGCTCTCTGCTCTGTTTGAGGAGCATGTCAGCTCCATCCTTGCCGACTACAAGGCCATCCACGGCCTGACGAATAAACTGACCAGGCAGGGCACAGACAGACAGGCACGACACACTACGGACAGGCCGACACGGCACGCCATGAAGAGGAGGAGGAGGAGGAGCGAATCTCCAACGAGCAGCACCGCGTCCAGGTAGAAGATGGGATATTTAATTTGGGGTTTTGGGTGTCGCACCGTGCATTGGGTGTGATCTTTGGTTTCCCTTCTTCCCATCCTGCCTTTAGTCCAGAGAGAAAGAGGCGTGTATCATCCAGGGTGAGCGGAAAAAAGGAGCCATCACCGCCTCCGCCGCCTTCACGGCTCTCCTCTCTGAGACAGAGCATCCCCGTCAAACAGCCCCCTCAGCTGGTCAACGGGAAGGCTGACACGCCGACCGCAGGGCGCACACGGAGCGCGGCGCGGCATTCTGCACACTCTCCGCCCTCCTCATCCTCCTCACATAATGCCGCAAGCAGCACTCAGAGCCCAGCAGGTGAGATCACTCGCCTCCGTACATACTCGGAGCTCGTCTGCGGAGGGTCACGCTACGGCGCCAAGCGCGAGTATAAACAAAGCTTTACGTGTATGCTTATGGAACTCGGGTTATGATATTGTAACCTTCAATATGTTAATTATTGAGCTTTGGATGTGCTGGTTGGCAGCTTTTGTTGTGTCCAGACAGAGCCATGCTAGCTGTTTACCCCTATTTGCCAGTCTTTGTTATTATCAAGTATTGACCACAGGTACGATATTACACAATCAACTTTTTATCTTATTTCTTTGCATCTTCAGAGTCTACTCGCTCACTGAGGACTCATAACTCTGCGTCAGCCTCATCGACATCAGCTTCTGAGAAGGTGACACCCTCTCCAGCCGCAGAAAGTAGCAGTGGAGGAAGCACCCGGAGGAAACTCAGGACTCCTGTACGACTCACGCCTGGTGAGAGACGGTGTCACAAAGAAGTGACCGTGTGATGCTGACGTTCATCAGATACATATTGAATGTCACCTGCCTGCTATGTATATTCTTTCTTCCTTTTGTCCTGAAATATCAATGCCCTTCCCCCTCAGGCTCCACTGCCAGCCCTCCATCTCAGAGCACAGTCCACCTGAATGGCCACAGTAGTCATGTGAGCCTGGGAGTGGGCAGGAGGGGGCGGAAATCCAAAGTGGAGCCACCATCGAGTCCTCCAGAAGTCACGACTCCGGGGAGCCCGTCCAGAACCCGAGGCCGCCCTGCGGGCAAGAAGAGGGGCAGGAAGAGCAAGCAGGAGCAGGAGGAGATGAGAAGGAGCGGCAAACGCAGGAGCTCCACCCCTGACGACGAGCTCGACCAATCGACGGGGGACGAAGGTGGGGCGTTGTCTGCACAGGAAACATCTGTGCTGTCGGACTCTGGCACGGCGTCGACGCCGAGGCGGCGCGGACGGCCCCGAGCGGTCAGGAATGAAGAAGCCACACCTCCTGCTGAGTCACCCGAGCCCTCGCCACTGAGGAGGAGCAGCAGGAGAGCCATCGAGGAGGTCACGCCTTCTCCGCAGACCGCTCCTCAGCGATCCAAACGGAGGGAGTCTCCAGAGGACGAGGAGGGGGACGAGGAGGGGGACGAGGAGGGGGACGAGGAGGGGGACGAGGCAGGGGACGAGGCGGGAGGGTCGATGCGCACACGCAACCAGGGGCGACGGTCTGCCTGGTACGTGGAGGAGGACTCCGAGGAGGAGCAGAGGCAGCTGTTGTTTGAGGACTCGTCCATCACTTTCGGCACCTCCTCAAAGGGACGCGTCCGTAAGTTGACAGAAAAGGCCAAAGCCAACCTCATAGGCTGGTAACAGAGGCAACCGAACCGACGCACAAGGATGCGAGGAGGAGGCCGATGGCCATGACGGAGAAGAAGTCGGGATGAGATTTCTCTTCTCTCTTCCGCGTCGGCTGAGTCGAGGGAGTCATGCTCTGTGTTGTTACGCGTCTGTGTGCGTGTTCGTCCCGGGAGCTGCTTGTCCAGCTGCTGCTGTTCAAAGCTGTGGCGATGGAGAGACGGAGACAGCGGCAGTTATCTGTGCGCTCCTCCTTCCTCTTGGCACATTGCTGCTGCCAAACCGGCGGCTTCCCGACAACGCATGTTCATCTGTCCCAACTCCTCCGACATTATTGGTCCATGTTGGACCCCACGGGAGCTCACTGACTCCATCGCTGGTGGTCCTGGGAGTCGCTCCTGTCCAGTGAACCACTCTTCACCTCCGTCTGCCCTTAAACACTGTTGGCGTTGGACCGGGCAAAAAAAAAAAAAAAAAAAAAAAAAAAAGTAGTTGAACCGTTTTAGTACTTGAAGAAAATCACGAGGAGAGCTGGATGTGTCTTATCTCACTCTCACTATTTTTAGTGTCTCTGCTGGGTCGGTCTGTGACGGCACTGAGCTGGAATGGTTAGGTGACGCATTACAGAC